ATAAAATGTAGAGGAATATTAAAAAGTAGAAAACATGTACATTCATGGATGCTTCGACAAAAAGACAATATTCCCCCATGAATTTATTTTCTTTTGTTATTCTTACAGTCTGACAAGTAATGTCACTGTTTGCTAAGTTAATCTATTTCTAAAATGCCAAACAATCAGCAATAGCAAAAAAATATCATACAGAGAGTGGCAAAACTACAAATCAGACAGCTACTGCTGATTAATTTTTCTCTAGATTTTTCCAAAGGTAGTCTATGAGAAAAGAGGAAAAAGATTCAAGGTCTTTCTTTCATTTCTATAGAGACCAAAAGAGGTAATAAATTAGTAAATAGAAATCAATAAATTTAATTATTTCTTGTATTGGTTTGCAAATGCACTATAGTTTTCACTACCTGATTGTCATTGATCTGTTAGGGAATAGAGGAAGGGAAAGGTGTAATCAACCAAGACAATTCCAGGCACAGTTTCTTTTCTTTATCCAGTATGGCATTGTAGTTGCTGTGTGTCAAAAGATCATGCTTAGGAATTATAGATTAGCAATCTGGTCTTGAAAGTCTTAAATAAATATTATAGAAGAGAATATTTTGTGCTCAAATTAGGTTTGTTTTCTTTTGTAACATGCCTGGAGTCATTAGCAGCCTGTAGGATTAATCCTATAGATCACATCTGAGACCTTAATGTTATTCTTAGAGAAATTGCCTTCTGAATGCAATTTGGAACAAACTTCAACACCTAATTGTCTAGGAGGAGCTCTCAATCCAAGTATCCATTCATTTGCATGTCCCAAATGATGAATATGTTAATGAAAAACAAAGAGAAAGTGAACATAACTTGTCCTTACACAGATTTCATGCTATCTTCACAAGCCTGTGCAGCAATAGAGTAACGGTGACATTAGCTAGCCTGGTTTTTGTTTTTTTTTATAAATTCTTCCCCTCTACTTTTTTAGCAGTTCTTGGACTCTTCACAAACCAAGCTGCCTTGTCCTTGAATTTGCCCACAGCAGTTTATAATTAAATAGTCACATTTTGAAAGAGGAAAGATAAAAATTTATATTGTTACAAAGAACTGAGACTTAAAGCTTTCTCTAAATTTCTAGAAAAGCATTCCAGATATTCTACTACTTCCTGATAATGGTGGCCTACTACATGTTTTAGATTGCCTGACCTGTTAGCACATGTTTGGTAGATGTAAATGGGGACAAGGAACCTAATTCCTCATAAGAATTTGTCATCTGTGTTTCCACAATGAAGGCATTGTTAAGTCACCTCTGATGGTGTTTATTTGGGTGTGTTGAGCTGTGATAAGAGGGGCACTGTTATTTTGATATGACCAAAGATGGTGGATAAACTGTTACACAACAAAATATATTGGCTTTAACTCTCCACATTGGTGGAGTTTGCCATTCAATCTGACTAAACTGCCAGGAACTGGACTACCTAAACACTCAGTTCTTCCCTACAAAATACTCCCAGAGCCCCAAAGCAGGCTTCTACACAAATTCTGATCTATTACCAAATGGATGTATCAAGTCAGCTTAGCAATTCTCTCAGGTCAAAGCCCTTTCTAAGACCAAAACATACTTGCCATTTTGTGTGTCTTCCCTAAGACAAGAAATGTAGTTCACTAAGTTAAAGAAAAAGAAGTACTTGATGTGAGTTCTCCAAATAGTTGCAGATACATAGTTAGAGACAGATACCAGTTTGAATTTTCCTACACAGGCGAGTGTTCATACTCCTGCTACAAAAATCAGTTTTCAACTCTAATCACTGAAATTAAGGGGCTGTTCATGAAGTATGTTTAGAAACGAAAGAAATCAGGAGTGAAAAAATAACATTAAGTTCTGGAGGGAGATGTGCTAACAAAAAACTTCAGAAATTAAAGAAAAACAGTATGTAGTGGGAGTGAAATCTTCACCTTCATTAAAAGCCTCCCTGTAGTGTGCCAAAATTTGTTTAATCTTGATAACAGGAGTAAAAAAAGATTTTTGAAATATAAAAGGTAGTTATATCTAGAACTACAATAGACATCAGGAGAAATGAGTGATCATTTCACTCAAAATTGAGAAAAAAAATCTGAATAATTCTACTCTATTTCTTCACTTTTTGTAAAAAAAGGTGGAATTTAGACTATTACTAAGTATATGTACTTTACTAAGAAAATAGCATCAGTTGATGAGGACCTCAAATGTTAAAAATGCAGGAGGCTGTGCAACAGAAATTGAGTTGAGTTTCTAAATTTAGCAAGCTATTTAAAGTCTTATCAAGTAATCATGTCTTCTTAATTCATTTCGTAAATTCCTGTCACAAAATGGTGTTTTTTCCCAAATGATCTTGTCAGTACAGAGTAAAATTTACTAAGAGTACTAAAATGATAAATGTTTTGAATACTGATCATTGCTTAATACTGAACTGCTTTCTGTTATGATTATGAGTTAACAGGAGTCACGAAATCTTGTTAAAGGTCTCAGTGGTCTGCAAAGGCAAAAGACTTAGAAGGTCACTGGAAACACTTTAATTATACATGGACATCTTCATTCCACTTAGACTTGAAGATAATATCTTCAGAAACTAAATAGAGCCTTAGGATCATATTGAGTTTAATATTAAAAACTCTTTGCTTTAAAAGCCCTATTCTAAATTTAACTTTCACACTAATCAAATAGTACACCTTAATGCAACTTTTAAACTTTTTCTTTTGAATTATATTCAGCAGTCATCATACAATTAAAACAATAATTCAAAATCCTTTTACAAAGTAGAGGTATCATAAATTCACAGAGTCACAGACTGGAAGAGATGGGAACACAGGTCTGAAGGTCATCTTTTCTAACCCTCGTGCTCAAGCCGGGCTCTTAGAACAGGCTGCCCAGGAGCACATTTGGATGGCTTTTGAAAAATGTAATTACCTCTCTGGGGAAAACCATTTCAGTGTTTGACCATCCTTAGAGTTAAAAGGCTGTTTCCTGATGTTCAGATGGAACATCCTGTGTTTCATTTTGTGCCCATTGGGTCTCATCCTTTCACTGGACATTAATGGAAAGAGCTTGGCTCATTTTTTGCAGCATCTTTTCAGGCATTTATATAGAAGGAAGAATGAAGAATTTATATAGAATTTATATAGAATGAAGAGATTCTCCTGAGCCTGTACATCTTTGGGAAGAAGTCTCATCTCTTCCCAGCTCTTTCCAGATCAATTGCAGGTGAATATATAAAATTATTAATAAAGAGTTTTTGACATAGTGTCCAAGTTGAATAAACATTAGAATTGTGATCAAATGACCATTAGAAGGAACATTTTAAAGCAGAGATTAAATCTGTAAAGTAGTTTGCAGGAAATACAGTTTCCTACTGCTACATTACATGAGGTCTTTTAATCAGAGTAAGTGTGTGAGAAAAGTTTTAAGACATTGCTGTGATTGCTTTTTAATTTTCAAACTTTTTAATTTGACATGATGTTATTATTTTACCCTTTACTTTATAGAAGCAACATTGTTTTCTGTAGTGGCTTATGGATAATTTAGAAACTTTTCAATGAATTATAAAAAAAAGATCAACTTTAAAGCAAACAACTTTCTAGTCTACTACTCTACTTCATAACAACATTTAGTGTCATCTTCCTGCTTGAATATAAGCAATGTTATTTCTGGGATTTTTTTATTTTTTAATGATTATGCATATTTACTAATTGTTACTGTCTCTCTCAAACTTTTGTTTCATCAAACTTCTATTTTAATAGGGCAAAGATTTCCTATTTAGAGTATTTTTTAAAAGTATTTTTCTTTGTAGAGAGAAAACAAATTAAGGTGAATTCTCTTGATCATGAATTTAACAAGCAGTGCACATCAAAAAACTTTTCTCCCCATTCCTCCCTTTTGTAGACAAGCCCAAGTTACTCATGACTAGAAGATAAAAAAGAAGACAACTGGAGAAAAATGGAAGTTAAATTTGAAAAAAGGCATTACAAAAAAAATTCAGATTTTCCAATATTTCATTGAATATTTTAACTTTGAAAACTAAACAGGAACTTGGAAGTTTATTTACAGAATAATTTGTAGGAGAATACCAAGTGAAAAAGTAATGTTGCCAAACACTATTTTTTCTTTCCTTAAAAGCTCTTTGGGGATTAATTTTTTTTTTTTAATGTCGCTGATGTGTTGTCCACAATGAAAACACTGCAGTCAATTTCAAATCTCCTTTTAATATGTGTATCATTGTATGTGATATCAACTAAAAAAGCTGTAGTAAAAGTAAAACCTGTTGGCTCTGCTTGTGTCAAACTTAAGTATTTAAAGGGACTTCTGCTGTAGCATTTTGGTGTCAAAGACAAGTGAATTGATACAGATCACCCAGGACAATAGGATCTTTCTATCCCATATTAAACTTTAAGAAACCATGAAAAGGTTGCTACCTGATTGTTGATGCATCGAACGAATGTATCTGAAATTGTGTGTAATATTTGGCAGTGACTAGTTTGGGAACCACAGTGCCTTACAACCTGGTTTTTCTGCTTGTCAAAAAGGATGAGTAAGGCTTAATGAATACATATAATGAGTCCCAGGAACTCCTAGGAGATCTGAACATCCTTGTATAGAAGAGAAAAATGTTATTATGGATGAGACTTTGTGAAGTGCAAGAAGGTAATGTGCCAGAGCAGGGGAGCTGCACCAGGAGCAGACAAACCAGACTGGAAGCCAAAGTCAACTGTCACTTGATATTTTTGTGTTTGGACTTCATTGTCAGATACCCACTTCCCTGTTTTACTAGGATTACAGCTCTCTACCTTCGCCCCTCAGTCTCCAACATCATCTACTCTTTAGGTGTCTTTCCCACACTGAATGACAGCATATAGCAGCTGATGACATTCTCCCTCTTGGGTTAAAATCCTTATCATATTGTTTTGGACAGAAAATGTTCTCACAAGAAAATTTTTTTAATCCGATTTCCATAAAAGCATTTCAATGATATTTTGTCTAAATCTGTTTTTCCCAGGTCAAATTGCTCCTGTTCCACTCCTTCTCCCACTGCATGGAATAAAGCTTATTTGCCAAGGACCTATTGTGGATTCTGCCCTTTGTGAGAGATTTAAGCTTGTGCTCCATTTGCAATAAAAAGGGCTGTGTAGAAGCAGAAAATGCCATCTTTGAAGAAGGATGAGCTATTTCTGCAGTCAGTGAGGGACATTAAAGGATTTCTGTGTAGGAATCTTCACATAAATTTCTTCTTCTTCACCCAGAGACATGCTCATTTCCAGTGAGTTAGCATTTCATTGTTGTGCAGTTGTTTAATGTTGCTTTCCTTTGACAAATGGTACCTTTTCAACTAAATAAAACAAGCTAAAAATGAACTGTGTAACTCATTAGCTAATATCCATGCAAAATCTACAAACCTGTGTATAGAAATAAATCTAAAGTAATACAAAATAACACAGGCAAACTAAATAAGTGAAGTTGAAATTTACAGCAAGAATTGTTTTGAAGGTGTCAGTTTATCATTACTGATATGCTATATAAGTGTGTTTATTTAAATTGCTTCTGCTCTATAATTCATTTGACGTGAGAGTCAGATCTTTGGGAGAACAAAGGTCAAATTCTGTCTTCAGAAAGGCATGTTCAGTTCTTGCTTTTTTAATGAGAGTTGAACTTTCAGAGCAGTGTTGCTTCCCAAGTGTTGTAAATGCAGCTGAAGTCACGAAATAATAGAGTCTCGGTGGAGGCTTTGTTCTTCTGAAAATTTCACATAAAATTCGGCTGAGGTGATTCAGAAGCTAAATCAAGGTTATAAAATATATATATTTTATATATAAAACAATAATAAAATCTATAGTTACGTAAAAATACATATTTTATAGCAGGCAGGCTTACTCTTTTTGGTTATTTATTTTGAATAGTGGGCCACAAGGCTATTTTCAGTATTGCTGAAGTGTGTGACTGTATTGGATTTTAGAAACATAAGGAAGGGCTCAGCCCTCAAACTAGAAAAAAATCATAACAGGTTGAGCTACAGAAAACCAAGGTAGTAAGATATTACATTTTTCATCATAACACCCCATTTTGTTTTGAACTGTTGGATTTAAGACTGAAAATGTCTCTGTCAGAACAGGTAGAATTGTATTTAGGTGGGAGAAAATACATTTAAGATCTTTGGGAAACTCTTTTCTTTACCATGGATAGTAGTGTCCAAAGCACCATTAGATTCACATGTAATGCTGGTGGATTTTCTCTTGTATAAATTGTATGACTGGAAGAAACCCTTAAATGTGAAGTTAGTAAACACCCAGTGAGACCATATCAGTCTTGAAGATTATTATTCTGTGCACAGACACCTTCCCTCAAGTCCTGCACAGCTCCTTTGTGGCAACCTGGCAGTAGGACTTTGTATTCTTCATCCCAAGGCCACAGGCAGGAGGCTTGGATCTCCTTCACTGTCTCATTCTGCCAGAATTGTCAGGGGGTAAGAAATTTCTTGCACACTCTGAGTAACCTACTGCTGGCAGTAGATGCTTAAGAGAGGAAACTGCTTTTTGGCATGAAGATGGAGGTGAGGATGGGGAGACAAGAATGTTGAGATGGACAGAACTAGGCTTAAGCATTAAGGCTGATGTGTTGGGAAACAATGGATAGCTAGCAAGGTCTGCAAGGGTAAAAGAGAGAAGCAAGGAGAAACACTGAACAAATGGGATTTTCTCTATCTTCTCAGAAGTAATTGTAAAACATACATATTTAATCAAATTCTTAGAGCTATGGTCTTGAAAAAACAATAAGTGGCACAGATCTTTCCTGCTTGAGTGATCATGAGACAAACATTCCTTGGAGGAAAAAAGTATGTAGTAGTCTTAGAGTTGTTTTACTGTTTGCCTTCTTATTATTTCAGGTGAATTTTCTAGGTTAATACATTCTTCTAATGAGAGATGAAGACTCTAAAATTGATGAATTCTTTTTTTCCCCTTTCCATTTTTTTTAAAGGATAGCCACCTCCCTAATCCCTTTATACTTATAAAAAAGTTGTATGTCAGAGGCTGACAATTTCACCAAGAAGAGCATCTGCTTTAAGTCATCTTACACCACTTGTTGGAGGATGTTTCAAAAACAATTCCTTAATCTTTAAGAGGTCTTTTCAAATCAAAACATCAATTTGTGGGCGTTTATTACCATGTAGATCCCTGTAAGATGCGGGACTCCAAGCTGAAGGGCACAAAGCAGGGATGTCTCGGGAGGACTCCAATGTTAGCTCAGGGTGAGAAGGTGTGACAACTTCCCAAGAACCCTCACTCCCAAATGTAAATAAATCTGTGCCTATCACCCAGAGTTCACTCCCCTGTTCTGGAAAATTCTGTATCCCCAGCTCCCTCATTGGCTTGTTCGCTATGGTCACTCCTCTCTTGTTCTGTTATTGGGTGTATCTGTGTCACCCCACCTCAGCTCCTCCCTCGACCCTTCTCCCCATTGGCCCAGTGTACCCTGTCCCCTCCTACCCTCTCCTAGTTGATATACCCTGAACCCAGCTGTGCCTCCTGTGCTCTGTCCCTGGTCTCCTTCAACAGTGGTTGTTTCCCTGCCTGCTTTCCTTGCTACCCACCCAACCTTCCTGCCTTCCTCTCTCCCTTCTGGACCCTCATCTCAACCCTCAACAAACCCTGTTGGACTGCTACACAGGGCACTCTCCTGTCTTTTGTGGTGAGGAAGAATTACAATGTCCATGCTCGGGCACCTGGTTGGCTGATGGAGCTGCTTGCAGAGCCTGGGGCGGAGACATTCCCAGATCAGCGGGCACTCCAACAGGACCTGCCTGGGTGAAGATCTTCTGCCACCTTACCCGTTAGTACATCTTCATGACCTTTTGTACCAGGCAGAAAACCATAATTTTGCCAACTAAAGTGTTGTGAACATGGAAGGAGTTTGCCATCTGGAGAATTGTTTCAGGGGTTTATAGATTTTCTCGGATAAGGAAAAAAAAATTCTAATCTGCCAATTGCTCTGGAAATGTTGAATAAATAAAAAAACAAAATAGGCAGGCATTTGCTGAGTAAATAATAACATGCTGAACCAGTAATTTTGGATAATTTATTTTTCATTTGATCTTTCAGTATATTTTTTTGTGTGAAAGGGAGCTAAAACTAGTAATAACTATAAACAGGGCATATTTTTTATTGAACCTGAAACTTGGATTTTTCAGCAATTTCAGGACTCTAGCCAGCTGCCACTTGCAATAATAAAGTAAGAACATAGCTTTTTAAAAGGTCACATTATTCCAAATTTAACCTCATCTTCAAATCCATTCCTACTAAAAAATAAATTATTTGTGCATTTTAAAGTTCAAACATACTCCTCCCTTACCCTTGGTCATGGTAGTTCCCTGTCTGACTAAAGCAATCTAGATAAAGGCAGAATTGAGTTAGAACTCATTGAGTTTTTAAAGTAATGATATGACAAGTTAATAATTGAGGGTTTTTTAATCACAATTCTATTGTGAATCAAAAAATTAAAAACAATATATGTTTTATTTTTCTTTAGGTTTCCTATTAGTCTCAGACTAGCCATAGAAATCTCAGCGTATCTCCTGTGCTCATTCACAACAAGAACAAGAAAGGGTGCCAACCAAACTCCTGGAAGAAAAGGCAAGATCGCAATAAAACATTAAATGAAAAAGAGAAATAAAAGAATAGGAAGGCATGGTGTCCTTCACCATGATCACCTTCACCATCACAAACACTTATGATTCATTTACCACTAATACTATGTTATATTTCTTTTAGGTTTGATGACTTCTAATTCTGAAAGCAGTTTGTCCTTCAAAATTTCCTATTACATTCTCCAAAAGGTATGAGAAGTGTGGTGCCAACCAGTACCTTCAGCACTTCAGCTCCTGAAAAACAGTCAGGCATTTAAGAAATTTTTACTTCCGTAAAATATGGCCATAGGTGTCAATGACCACCTAAATATTAACAGTTAATTAATTCAAGTCACTTCTGACTTCTACACATATAGATGGCATGGCATTTATAGAGGATTTTAAAAGTAGGAAGGTAGATGAAGCCTGAAAGCTCATAAACAGCCCTTTTGGAGAACTTCATGAGTTCAATGAATGTTCTCAAATGCTGAATTAAAAAATGGCATTAGTAAGGAGAGAGAGAATCATTTGTTAAAAAATGCATGTCCCTTTTGCTTTCCCTTGACATTTATAACATACAAAGTAATTGAAACCACAGTCGGGGTAGTTAGGGTAGCTCTATAAACAGCAGTAGTTCAGCAGGTGGTAACAGTAGTAATTTGGAAATGAACAAAACTGACCTCTTCACTTCTTCTTTTTTAAGGCAGGATTTTATTTTAATTTGTTTCAGAAAACTTTAAAGAGAGTCTAAAAAAAGCCTTTATATACTTTGTGAAATACAAAATTAATTCTCTTATCACCCAGATGCAGCCTTGATACAAGAGTAATGAACGCTTTAGAAATACAAAGAGATTAAATTTTCTTTATGTTTCTAATCAGAGACACTTCGTTTAGGTAGCTTGCATCCACAGTTTTGGATTTGCAAAAAACAAACAGCTTATGTATTCAGAAAGATCTTATAAAAACAAAACCCAAATGAGGTTTTCTTTTGACTCAGAAATGTAGGAGGTCTCAATCTCAAACATTATATATTTCAGCAAACACAAGCAGCCCATTTTAACTATTTTTACAGTGCACACAACTGCACTTAGGTGCATGAAGCACTTTTCCAGACATAACAGAAATATATCACCAGAAGGTAGGAGTATAGATTTTCTCCAGTTCTGTAAAAATAAAGCAGATATTTGTGAAAATTTATTTAACACCAGAAATCTAGTATTATTTTGGAAATTTAAATCTGTAATTTTGAGTCTGAATCATAGTCTTGGTTTATATGACATCATTATAGCACAAATCACTCTGAGTACCTCTCCATAAATTCAGTGTCGTTCAGCAAGTCATAAGGAGTTTGTTATTACCACCATATTAGAGATTCAAAGACCAAGCACAAGGAAGTCAAGAGACCCTCTGTTCGCAAGGATTAAAAACATTATTACCAGTTGAAAAACTGCTCAAAATTTTGTAATTCCTGTCTGCTTTGCTCTAAACCTGACATCAAGATTTGCTGTAAATCTACATCCATGCAGCATTCATACTTTAACCCCACTTATACTATCAATATAGATTGGCAAGAGGCAACTTAATAGTTGGAGGTAGTGGTCCGGCCAATGATTTCAAATAGGTTTTTTTTGTTGAATGTTGCTTGGACTTTTTTTTTTTTTTTTTTTTTTTTTTTTTTTTTTTTTTTTTTTTTTTTTTTTTTTTTTTTTTTTTTTTTTTTTTTTTTT